CCAATTATAAATTAAGACGGCAATGAGCAGTTCTGGTGTTGACCAAAAAAAAAAGTAAAGAATAAATGTTGTAATCTCGATTGCTGCTTCATTCTGAGGGATTTTTGCGCGAACAAATATAGGAATTCCCATTTGATTAATATTCGTTTATATGTTGTATTTACCTATCCTTATTTACTTGCTTTTCTTACCCGACAGGCTTGATATTGAAAGAGGGAAGGGGAAAAAAAAGTGCCAAATGTTGCAGTTTGAGCACATTTCTATCACGACCGAGCTCGTCGATTTTCCCTTCCTCTTTCCCATGGAACCGTTTCCGAGTTCCCATATTTCGTTTCGCGTTTTGCCTCACGACGCTCACGGACTCGGGGATCGAAGAAGACATACATTTTTTCCTTTCGGGTAAATATTAGGGGAAACGGAGAAAGAAAAAATATAATTACACCTGAAATGGCATTACACGTGTTAATCGAGGCAGCGACACGAGTCGACCGAGGTCGACCTCCCGAAACTCCCCCGATCGATGACCTCCAGGTTAAGTGACCTCCCGGTCGACCGACCTCTTGGTTGACTCACCGGTCATGATGTTGCCAAAATTGATGGTGAGATAGTCGTCCCGGTCGCTCCTCGTGTGCTCGTGGAAGAACCCCAGGGCGTGCATGAGCTCGTGCAACATCGTGCGTTCGTCCGTGCAGCCGTTGTCGAGCGAGAGGGACTGCTCCCCGCCCGCGCGGCCCACGTAGCTCGAGCACCTGAAGGAGTCCGGAGTTTAAGTTCCTTCTCGGTCGGAGAATGGGGTGAAAACGTAAAAATATGTAAAATATTAAAACGTAAAATTATGTTTATGCGAATGCGAAATTTTACATTTTAAATGCGATACTTGAAGAAATGAACCGCAAAATAAAAAATCGAAATTTAAATGTGAAATTTGAATTACAAAAGTAAACCCGTTGAATAAAACAAAGGGCCCCCTTCGACCTCGGCGAGCAACCGACCCACGACCTCGGAGAAGAACTGACCCTTGACCCCACTTGGCGATGTGGATGTAGTCGCTCTGACCCGACCGGGGCGTGAACCGGATGCACGTGTTGTCCTGGAAGCTCTGCATCGCCTTCGCCAGCCTCGCGCTCTCGTCCTCGGCTGTCGGAAGGAATTCCGAGGTTTGGTGACTTCGTAATCGCTATAAAGGAAACTTGATTATCGTTGGATTATCGTCGGATTATGATCTCGGGGTTACTCGTGATCGATCCGAGTTTGAAGCTTTTGCTCCATCCAAACCATGTACGTCCGTCACGATCGATTATTTTCATCGAAAGATTAACGGATCAATCGATCTCTTCGTTGAGGATCATCGGATTGGATCCATTGATCTAATCCGATGATCCTCGATCGTTTGGGTCCAACATCTTTTGGATTTCAAGGAGTCAAACGACTTCCTTTGTGTCTGCGTTGGTGAAAACTGAGAAAACTCGATGCCGAAAGAATCCGGATGTCAAAGAGAGAATGGGAAATAGATTTATTTCTTGTTTAAAATAACTTTTAATATGGAAATTCTAAAAAAAAACCTGCAGCAGTGGAATTCCCAATTTTATCCAGATAATTTTTGTTGTATCTAATTTAGTCGAAACGATGAAGAATGTAGATGGCGCATCTGTTGCTCTGTAAACGTAGACCGCTGAACCCGGAAAAACTGATGAATTTTAACCGTGCTCTGATGACTGCTTAAGTAAGCCCTGATGACTGCTTAAGTAAGCTCTGATGGCTGCTTAACCAAGTTCCGAGGACTGCTCGATCGCGCTCATTCCTCAAGATCGCAATGGGGAATAAATCTGAAAAAATATAGCAAAATTGTGAAAATGCTCC